TCGATTGAAAATTCCTTCCACATTATCATTCCGGTACCTCTGTCAAAACCTGGTGATTCATACAGCTTTACTTTTCTCAATGCTACGTGTAGAGATCTCAATTTCAACATTCAGGGCCATCGTCGAGAGGTCGACTTTGCCATAACCTACTGGCTTGTTTTTTTAAAGTACTATGACCGCGCTATGGAATACGTTTCCTTGTACACGAGCATTTCGTTCGAACTAACTGCAGTTGAATCGCTTATTTTGCGAAATATCCTTGAAATCAAATATCGTGATCTCGAATATCTTGTGATAGAAGCCTGGGCAAACCATTTCCTTGGTGAACATGACATCTTTTTTAAGGGCTTTTTGGATGAAACCAATAGGATTGAAAAGATTACCAACATTTCAAACTTGATTCCCGTTATTCCATTCAACTATAAAAGAAGCCTTTTCTCTTTTCTTCCTAACATCGGTGAAGATAAATATCTTTGGGCATATTCTAACAAGCTGAAAATCGGGTCTAGTATTGGAAAACCGGCAGAAATAGAACTAAATATCTTCGATCTTGAAAGTGATATCAAATCTCTTCGCTCTAAATCATTTTGCCATATTTTGCCCAAATTACGGCTTGTCCACTGGAGAAAATTTAAAATTTTTGATTTTTTGAACAGTATCTGTTTTCTATATGACCTAGCTGAATCATCTAAAGATTTACCCGATTTTGTAGACAAATTAAATTTTCTCTATCTCAACTATATCCGATTTTATCTTGAAATGGACAATAAGAGCAACGATTACAAATTTTCTTCCCTGTGTTATGTTATCTTCATGGTTTTCAACACCCTCAGTGATAAGGAAAACCTCTCAACTTTTCTTTCTGAATTGCAAAAAAGAAGTTTTCCTTACGAACTGCTGAGAATTTATAAAAAATACATGGAATTGCAGTCATTTTTTCCCTATCAAAAATCGATTAAGATTTCTCGAAAACTCCCATCGCCTTCCCCAGAGTATGAAAATTTCTTAAACATAACCATGCAAAGGAAAGCTCTTTCATCTAATCTTTTCGAGGCAAATGCGAGGTTTACCTTCTTTAGTGATGCTGCTTCACTTGAAGAGAAATTGAAATCAATGGTGTCCACTCATGAACTTCTTTCTGGGTTTCCCCTAAGTGCCTTAAAAGACCCCAAGCTTCTTGCCCAAATACTGCTCTGCGGGTCGATTGAAGAACTCCGGGCATTTTTCACTGTCAGTGCTGAAAAGACCCCAGAGTTGCTTGATCTTTTATGGTCCCATTTCATCAGATTCTTTTATTGCGAGTGTTGTCATTTGAAAAACACTACTTTTTGCCAAACTTGGGTTCAGAAAAAAGAACCCTCTACTCAACAAAAAGGAGACGTGCCCGATCAACAATTAGTGGTCACGGTTCATCAAAAAGTTTTGATTCTGATCGAGTTTTTCACAAAATATCCGTTGTATGAAGAACAGAAGACCATTATGTCCACCATTTTAGACAAAATGATTCCCGGAGGGTCGTATGTCGTGCAACAAGGAATGGCTGGCGGAAAGACCACGCGTTTCGGTCCCGCTGCCGCAATCATAGCAACGTCGATTTTGAGGAAACTGCCGATCTTCATCTTTCCCAATTCCATCCTGAACCAGAACATTTTGCAGCTGCAGCAATGGCTTTTTGACTTTTTCGGCAAAAGCGTTTTCGAGTTCAAAGTAGAACGATCGCCTTACGGGTACAGCGAGTCGTATTTGCGCTATCTGTACTATCGCCTTGCAATGGCGCATCATCGTGGAGATGCATTCGTGTCTTCGATAAACAGCATCCAATGCCTTTTGAATGCTATCAAGGAACTGTATTTGCAAAACACGCAAGCGTCAAGAAGATCTTTTGCTTGGGTTGTGAGGATCTTGTATTTCATCAAGTACTACTCAATATTTGTGCTTGACGAAGCGGATGAAATCATGGATGCTTCCATTCTGTACAACTTTGAGACTAAAGAGCCCGATGAAAAGGACTGGAATGTCATTAATTTGCTTATTGAGTGCTTCCTGTATTTGAGAGACAAAAAGGAGTTTGAATCGCAAACAGGAGAAAAGATCACCATTTTCGAAATCAAGGAGCCTCTTACGCCATCTACTGTGGGCCCTTTCAAACAGATATTAAACAAGGAGCTCAATGATATTTTGTCAAAAGCCAGCAATGAAACTCGTGCGTTCATCGTTGATAATCTTTTTGTCAATTGTTGGGAAAAGATCCGCAATGTGGGGTATGGAGCATCCATGGAATCCCCGTTTCCATATCCCATTCCATATTCGATGGCAAATACACCAAGAGAGGGCAGCAGCTTTGGAAACAAACTGTTCATCATTGCCATTTCGCTCAAGTTTTACCTTGAAACCGAGATGAAAGATCTCAGCGAGCCTCCTTTGTTCTTCACAAAAGAAAATATCTATTCCATTCTGGAGCTTTTTGATTATGACCCAGAAGAAATAATGCAGAGGACACCAAAACTATCTCATTTGGAGCTCTTCAACTATTTAAGGGACAGGATCTATGAAAATGACGAAAATCTCAAGACCTTTTTGAGGGATGTAGTAATCGAAGGCATCAAGACATCTCCTCATCAGATCGTATCATCTGCCATTGAATTTATTTTGTCTTGCACTCAGGTCCTTGCATACAGCGGTACTTTATTC